CTGTGTCTGCTCCAGACAGCCCCACACGGGTCTGCAAGCACCTGCAGCAGGGAGCCCGAGCCATGGGGCAGGTGATGGGCCACTTTTCCCCCACACTCAGCACCAGCTTCTTCCCTGCTGGCAAGCAGGGGGCCAGGGCTAAGCGCTGCCCCCCACACCTGTACTGCGAGGCTGGGGGGCACTGGGTGTGTGCAGGCGGGGAGCCAGTGGGAGCATGGGGCTCACACCAGTGTCCCAGGGCCAGCACCGGTGGGGCCCAGAGCAGGGTGGCAGGAGTGCAGGGTCCCAGCCAGCAAGGGCTCTATGGAATCGGGCCAGCTCCCCCCTGTCCCTGATGGTGCAGCCCAGCCCGGCTCCACACACCGTTGCCAGCCTGTGCCCCGCTTTGGGCCCCACCGGTGCTGGCCCTGGGACATTGGTCCCAAAACATTGGGACATTGGTCCCAAGATGGTGACTGGGGGCAGGGCACCTGTCAAGGGGTGGGGTACCGGTCACAGGGCGGGGCTACCCATGCAGCCCTCGACAGTCTGCCAAAACTGAGTAAGCAGCTCTCTGCCCAAAATAATTGCCCGCCCCTGTTATAGATGCTTATCACCTAGTAGTTAAGCAACATTTTCAACACCAGAAGCCAGTCCCAAACTAAAGTTTGTGTGTCCCAACTCCAGGTCTACAATTGACCATATTATCTCCATGGAGCATGCCAACATTAGCTCATCATACATTTCTTACTCTGATCTGGAGATACTCCTTGCTGGAAAAGGCATAATTTTCCTATGACACAATAGGAGTGCACTTAGGATGTATTATCTTGCTTGAAAGCTTGAGTTTTAAAGTAATCAGGACTTGTAATAGAGATGATCTCTTTTATTAGACCAACAGGATTTTTGCAAAAAAAATTCCTTAATTGCAAGTTCTGGGGCATAAACACCCTTTAATCGGGCATTGGAGAAAAGATTGTAAAAGTTCTCCTGGGTAGAAGTGAAAGTTCATATTTCATAGGATTTCACAGATGGAAAACTCCTCTGGGCAGTCGTTTCATAGCTAGTACAGAGCCTCTCACCTCCTGTGAGACTCTGTGATGATGCAAATTACCTTGAAACAGAGGCAGGAGCAGGATTTCTGGTGGTCACAGTTGCTTCCTCCTTTGGAAAATATGAAGATTTCATTTTTTAAAATCAGCTAAAATCCAATATCTTCCATCTGTCAGGTATCCAGGTTGTAGCCATATTGGTCTAGAGGAAAAGGTAAATCAGGACTCATAGTAGAAATGATCTCTTTAATTAAACCAACAAGATTTTTGCAAAAAATTCTCTTTAATTGCAAGCTTTATTTTATTTTTATTTATTTTTTAATTGCGAGTTTTAAGTGCATTTAAATGCATATTATGTGTCACATGAGACATAGTCCAAGTTTTGCTCAACAGAGAGGCTGAATGACTCTTTCAATCTTTCAGTCTTAAAAGTCAAATGTTTCTCACAGTGAAAGATCTAACACTGCTTTTGTTTTCATGAATTTCAGAAGAGGCATGAGGGACTCAGATCCAAGTTGTGCCTTTATTAACATTTCCGTTTAGGTCAAACATCCTCAAAAGTATCCAAGAAAAATACTAACTCTGCAGGCTCAGTCAGACAACAGGATTTCTACTGTGCTCCACCTCTAACCTATGTTACAATATTGTCACAATGCTGTAGCAGCTATTACTATCTGGGTCAACATACAGCCTATTCACTGCAGAACCTGACTCTCAAACAGGCTGTAAAAGCCTGTCAGCTTTCTTCACAACTCATTCAGCTCCCTCACACACACACACACACTTTGCTTGCTGTCTGTCCATATTCTTTTACCCAAAAGAAAAAAAGAATAATACAGTGCATGTGCACATCCCAGCTACACAGAAATCCAAAGCCACTTTACAAACATTGATTAACACTCGCGTCATACCTGTGAAAAACGAATGTTATTGCCTTCCTTTACAGGGGTGTAGGTTGTAGCCGTGTTGGTCTAAGGACATAGGCAGACAAAGTGATTTGAGTCAATCTGGTATCTTTTGTTACACCAACTTAAATAGTTGGGAAAAAATTTCTTAGCAAGCTTTCAGGTTTAAAAACCCTTTGTCAGGCTGAGGATGCATCTACAGTTGGTGTGCTCATTCTTTCTGGATGGAAAGAATAGTAAAGATGCCAGAGGCTGGTCTGCATGCAAGAAAGACAGTCAGTAAAGATGTAAATCAAAGAGTCAGTGGGTGAGAGACAGGGGAGATGGTGGGGAGAACATACCAAGCAAATAGTGGAGAGGTACCTGGGGAGTCAGATGTCAGGCAGGTTATAATGTGTCATAAATCCAATGTCTATATTTAGTCTATGATTTTTTGTATCCAGGAGGTTGATGAAATCAAGTTCATAGACTCATCTGTGAAAAGTGTTTTGTAAATTCCCTTTGAGGATTAGAACTGAGAGATTGGAGAGAGAGAGAGAGAGAGAGAGAGAGAGAGAGAGAGAGAGATTTTCTTGTGAGAAATGTGCCCCCACAGGTAGTTGGGTATTCTCGTCTTTAATAGATTTCCGGTGTGCGTTCATTCTGGTGCACAGTTGTTTGTTTGTCTGAGAGAGACTAGACACTAATCCAGGCAGTACAGATTACCTTGATGAAAAAGCAGTAATGCCTGAGACAAATTCAAGATATACCATGAGTGGTACTGAAATTTTCTTGCGTGACAATACCAAAACCAATCATCCTACTCTAGGTTAGGATTTAAAATAGCTTCAACACTGAAAATAGAAGCATGCCTCAGATTAGGTCCAAAATTGCTTTTAAAACATCAAACAGAAAGGAACAACCATCATACTTGCAGATCAACAATATTTAGTCCAATAAAATTGTCAGCTATCTAAGACTCAGCCATCACTTACAGGGAATTTTCTCTGTGTTTAAACAAAACAGAACAGACAAAAAACCTGTTAGATCACAGGTCTAAGGCCATTTATGTTCTTAAATGTTCACCCTCAATGACCCTGCTGGAGGAAAAATCCTACAGAGGAAATAAACATCTAACACACCCACTTCCCTCTTACACTTCTTCTAAGCAGGAGCTTATTTGCAAGACAGCCCCTTCTTTTTCTTGCCCCACTTGTCTATATTCAGGATTTGAAGTGTTTCAGCACATTCCATTCATGCTCAGCATAAATAAATACAAAAGTAAAAAGTTTGGGAGGCTTGGACTAGAGCCAGCTCGCCTGGGTAACAGGACCTTTTGTGGAGTTTGAAGGGTGTTTTTAAAAAGGAGGAAGAAAGAGAGAGAACAGCTCAAGAATCTTGGCTCAGTCTTGGAGTATTTCCTCCCAATTCTCTGGCTAAACCTCAGCACAAAAGTCTGAACTAGAGAGCCTATGTAAACTGAGGAGGGACTCTGCATTTCTTCTCACTACCAGACAGAGAGGCATCTCCAGTCACTGCTTGGAGACTTTAAAACCATGCTTTTTATTTGGACTCTGGCTTTTATTTTAGTGCTGCAAGAGCAAGTCTTTTGGGGTAAGTGATTCCAAGCTTGTAAGGTACAGCTTGTAGGCTACTGAACTGCTTAGATGAAGGGTTTTCATGGGGAAAAAGAAGTAGAGAATTAATTTTTGTGGGGATTTCATATAAAGCTGACAGGTCATGCTTGCAGAGTAGCAGGAAGGATTTTTCAACAGGAGAAGGTCCTATGTTGTGTTTTTCAAATACATGCTTGAGATTTACTGCTGTAATGAGAAGTATTGCCGGCCGAGAAATTCTTTTCTTTACTCAAGAAACATTTTTTTTTCTGGCAGACATTCAGAAATATGACATGGTATGAATTTTGTAATTATAATTGTTGTCACCTTAATATAAAATCACCTTGTACTGTGATATTAGTGTCCTGGGAGAACGGAAAGGAGTTTCCCTATGACTGAAAACTTAAAGGAGATAATGTTACATTCACAATGCTCTTTTTCCACTGTTTGAAATTACTGGACTATTTTCTATTCTTGAGCTGTCTACCTGCATAACTCTAGGCAGTCAATTAGCTCAGAGATGAACACCATAGGAACACACTAGTAGTCACTGACAGTGCAGCTAGCTCTGGGGTATCTTCTGATGATATTGTAGATGACTATAGTGACTGAAAGCTATTTTTAGCTGAAATTTCTATTTGGCCAGTTCAGGCATTTATAGTCCCCTTGTAACCACAAGCCTTGCTCTGCAGCCTATATGTATTATGTGTTTTCTAATAGCTGTTGCCAATCATTGTTTTAAAACTCACTGCTGCTTAACAGCATTTAAAGTTTAGATGTTAACTTGCTAGAGAGTTCTCATTACAAGCAAAACCTGAGCAAGACAAAACAAAACAAAAATCTAATCCCTACTCTCCCCGATAACATTCAGCCTTCATTGGACTTGTACCAGTCCCAAACTACTATCTTTAAAATGTCTCCAACTGTTTTTCTAGGTAGGGTGCTGTAACTTGCATTCACTTTAGATGCTTTCACTACCTGTCAATGCACCCTGTGTTATAGTATTTTAGCAATAGTTTGTTCACCAAAAATGCATGTTGGCTGATCCAAAGTTATAAACAAATTCAGGTTGAATTCAACAGAATATAAACATTAATTGTGACAGAGATTAGTATTCAGGAATCCCACTTGACAGCTGAAATGCACTAACCACCAGTCTGTAGAGTCAGTCTCACTCACTGTTCTCTGGCCCTATGAAGTATTTTTTTGTTTTGTTTTGTTTAGTTTCTTTCCAAGAGCGGAACAGATTCAATTGCGAAGGACACTACCTCAGAATACACTGTGAGCCCATGCTTCAGGCACCCTGCCAGGAGTGGGCAACTTCAGGTTAAATCTCTTCTCTAAACCGGGCACAGAGGAGGTTTGAGCTAAGTCTTCCAGCTGCCATTGATCGTGGTATCCCAACAACAGGGCACAGAAGTAAGGGAATACCACTTGCCTCCCTTGTTGGTTTGTGAATGGCGCCTGCATCATGTTGTATACTATCCTTTGATTTAATTAAAAATGTCTCAACACTAAATGATGCATTCAACCCAAAGCATTTTTTTTGACAAGCTGAAAAACACACAACAGAAAAATTCCTGCTTTGGGTCAACTCAAAACAAAAAAAAAAATCATTTTCTGATTGTTTCTAGTTCAGCCCCACAGATGAAGTAACTTTTACGAGTAGCTTGGGACAGGCATGAATGTGCCCTGCTAGATACTTGCTCTCTATTTAAATGTGGTTCTTTTATGCTCTTTCCATTGATAGCTGGACTATTCAAGAGGGTTCGGCTGTACCAGGCACCCAGGTGCACTGGAGCGACACCCTAACAGGATACCCATTTTGCTGAATGAACAACTGTGGATGGTCCCCACATAGTTGGGGTCAAGGCAAACTTGGTTGACTTCTATATTTTTGAGGAGCACTGTGTCCCAAGGTCAGAATCTTCACTGCTAGGTTGTTGCTCATTTACAAGTCCTTTATGACCAAACAATCATGATGTACCTCCTAGGTCCGCTCTGCCTCGATAAGCAAGCCAGATTTGGGGAATGAGTGAGAGCAATTGGAAAGAAGTACAGTGGGGGTAATTCCATTTAGTTTAAATTAGTAAAATGAAACAGTTTGTAACACTTTCCCAGCATGGTCTGTCCTATTGACCTGTTCCACCTCTTTAGAGGATACTGCATTGTCCAATCTTCATGTATGGTATCCAGAGCAGGGCAGTTCAGTGAGGAGCTTGGTAGGGTGTGTAAGCAAGGTGCTGATCAGCAACCAGGGCTAGGAGATCAGCACATCCAAGAGCATGTGACAGCTTCAGATCAATCTCCTTCTGTCAAGGCAGCTGCATGCACCATACCTAGAGCTACAGGAGCCAATTCATAGTAAAGATTTTCATACAGTTTCTTAGTTTTAAGACAGTACAAAAAAGAAAAGGGGGTCAAAACCTAAGTCAAATCATGATTGATCCACATCTCCAACTCAGGAATACTGAAGCTCCACATGGAATGCACAGGCACTCTATCAGGGAGCTCTGACGTGTGAGGAAAAAGGAAGATCTTGCACAACAGAGAGAATTTGGAAACCGGAAAGACTGAATTGCCTGAGAAGAATTAAGATAGTGGAGGTGGGAAAGGGGTGAGCTTTTTGCCAGATTTTTATATATTCAGCAAGAGTTCATGTTCCAGATTTTCCACTGTTAAGGAGACTTTGGTTTACTAAATTCTATGGAGTTCATAAATTTCACATGAACAAGCTGAAGATCAACTCTCAAGGAAGCCAGGGGTATGGAATTTATACACTTTTTTGCTGCTTATTTGAACGAGTTGTATTTATAAATGCTAGACCATCTGCTCTGGCTGACAGACTTTAGCTGAAGTTGACTACAGGTAGTGGGTTTAAATGCTGCGATCCTCCTGTATACTGAATATCTAATTATCAATGTGATAAAATTAAAAGTAAAATGTAACCCATCTCCCAGAGAAAAACAAACAAACATGGCTGCAGCAAGGCCGTAGGTGTATTTAAGTAGTCTCGAGGGGAAAGAAGAATAGCCCAACCCAGCCAACCAAACTTCGAAGGAAGTCCTTTGACAAATTAAACCAATGCAATCAAGGTTGCATGGATTCTATTTGCTTCTACTATATTGTCACATTTACAAATAGTAGCCACTACAGCTCTTACATTACTCACTAATGTGAGAAACTAATTTCGCTACCAGAGATGCACTGATACAATGGTCCCATATTGGATTGACACGGATATAAGGAAAATTGACTATACCAGCAATTGGCTTTTTTTGGCTGATGTGCCCAGTAATGTGGCTGATAAATGCCCCATGCATGCACAGTGGTAGTACAGCATGCAGGCAGCCAGGAGTGCAGCCCAGCAGCACGTAAAGCAGCCAGGTCTGGCTGGTTAGCCTGTTGTGAGGGAAGGGGCATGGGGGGAGGGGTGGGAAGTGGCAGATTGAGACCCCAGTGGTGAGGGAGGGAGTGGGGTTGGTGCTGTGGCAGATGCTGCGCAGCTGGGGTGGAGTGGGGGACAGAGCCATGAGCAGCACATGGGGGGGTGGCCCCTGCCACCATGAGCACCCCCAGGGGGGCATAGGGGGGTGTGCCCCTCAATCTGTGTACGGGGCAAGGGTGGGCTGCTACTGCAGGCTGGGGCACTGGGATCTTCCTAGTGGGGGGTTGGGCTGGGGCTGTGCTCAGGGTGGGTGGCAGTGGCACTGGGAGGGGGGCTATGGCAAATTTTGAGGAGGCTGCAGGCCCCCCCCCCCATAGCCTCCTTCCAGCACTGCTGCTGCCCACCGAGTGCAGCCCCAGCCCAACCCCCCTGCTGGGAAGAGCTCCACATTGCCACAACCCCAGCCTGCAGCAGCAGCCCACCCTCACCCTGCAAGCAGATCCAGGGGCACTTGCCCCACCATGGCCTCCTGGGATGCATGCAGTGGTGGGAGCCACCCCACTCATGCCCCCCAGATGAGCCACTCATGGCTCTATCCCCTGCCCCACCCCAGCTGTCCATCTCTTGTCCCTCCCCCAGCCCCACCCTCTCCCTCTATGTGGGGGCCTGGATCTGCACCCCCACACCCTCTCCTCCCTTGTCTCTTCCCCCACAATAGTCCCAAGTGCAGCCCCTTCCCTCACAACAGACATCTATGGGCTTACCAGCCAGATGCCACTCTCCATGCTGCCTAGCTGCATATCATAATTGGATTGGTATTGGCTGATATGGCTTGTTATAAAAATCAGCCATCAATATGGTTCCAAAAATTCTCTATCAGTGCACCCCTACTCACTAGACATCTGACATTCCAAGTAGAGATCCCACCTGGAGTCCCACCTCCTACCTTCCAGGTCCAGATCAAGAGACAGGCTCTATTTTAGCTCAAGAAAATTCCTACTTATTTCCTTATCTGCAGATAGTTCCTAAGCAGTGGTCATTTCCTTGGTGTTTCCTCAAAAGCTCACCTCTGCAGATGCTGATTTAATGGGCCAGACCCTTGCAGTGTGAAGGTCAGAAGTCTTGGACCAGAGGGAATCATGTCCCAGAATGGAGGGAGAATACCTCATAGGAACTGTTCCACCACCAGCCTGCCCTCTCTTAAATCAAAGGTTACTGAGTGCTTCTTCTGATAGCCATTTTGGTATCACAGGACAAGGAATAGGTGGTCCTCCCAAGTAGTCAGGGCCTAGATAGGGCGACATTGGGAAACTCAATAACCAGCCCATGCAGATCATGAAACATCAAACTTGTATGTTATTACTGCAGAGAAGCATGCGCTACAATCCACACCAGTTTCAGTTTTGGAATTGATGAGAATGGTAGCTCCACATAGAGCACACAGCAATAATCACATCAGGAGATGATCAAGGGCTGGATTGTGGTAATGAATTTCTCTGACAAAAGTGATGCTTGAAGTCTCTTGGGTAAATGCAGTGTTAGAGTTTGCTACAGAGGCACTAGAAACCATCACACAACACAGCATGTATTCATAATAGCAATATATGGGC